CATAATGAACGAACTTTAAGTATAAAATTATGGAGCACTAGAGAGCATCATCGTTTGGATATTAGACTTCTAACAAATGTGAATCCATAATCTTGTCTGGTATAGAATAAAGAAATCCAGCGATGAGTGTGTTGTCTTTATAGATCTATGAACTAACATTGAACGGATGAAATATCCAAATTCATTCAGTTTACAACATTTCACAATCCTAATCTATTGATGATACTTCTCACACGTTTGACATCCTCAAACATGTAACTGGAGTAAAATAAATTGACTTAATCAAACCCAATCTCAATATTATAATGATAAAAATCGGAAGTTTGAATTTCTTATTGTTGGATTACACTACTGAAATGGATTTAAGCGGAGCGTCTTTTGTTTCATAGAATGTTAATTTTTTCTTTCAAACTATATTATTCATCAAAGATGGATAATGGTTAGCAGTGGGAAACAGGACGCGCGTTTCGTCCTATTTGGGACTCGTCAGCTAAATTTACCTGCATCCCAGAGTTGATGTCCACTCTGGGACTCGAACTCAGTACCGTCCGCTTTAAACGCCATGGCATTATCCACTTAGTTACTGAGTCCTGATAGCCACTTGCTTGTGCTATGGGGTGAAGTTTGAATTCACTTACTTATAACTCTTGTGGCTTAAGGCAATATGCACGGTATGCACATATGCCAATAAGAGACTGGTCAATTGGAGTCCTAAACATCAATGGAAAGATCTTTCATCTTGTTAATTTATCTATGACTATGATTTATTTCAACATTTAACCTGATAAACGGTTAGAATTTCTTCAAAGATATGCTGTAGTAAATGAGAACACAAGTGGGAACAATTAAATGTATTTGAACACAATATTACAGAACATCTTAGTAAAATCTGAGAATCATACAGTGAATAGTTCATTTGCAAAATGTCAATCAATTGACTCTGAATTCATTGTTCTTTCGTTTTCACACCAATTATTCTCTATTCTCATTCTCGTTTCTTTGATCTTCTTAACCTTCTGCCACCAGGCATTTTACTTTTGTTTAATGATACATACTACTTATATCTATCGACATCGGTAGCACATACCACACTCGCCCCTCCCTTTTAAAGCAGTCATTCTTGCGGTGGTTCTGCTCATTGTGTCACTTTCTTCTTCTCTACAGTCTGTGTCACTCTCTCCTTCATTTTTAAAAGAGTATTTATACGTATGAAACCGGAATTTAACTGTAAACAATCTTCCAATATGACTTAATGACCGTTTACATGTATCAATCAAAAGATTGTTTTATTACAGCAGAACTACAAGTAAATTTCATGAACAGGAAACCATTTTGCGTATTCGTAAATGACAAACTTCCCTGTTTCACATCCTTTATATACATTTATAATTTCATTAGCTTTTGTAGAACAAGGTTTATAAGAACATAGTTAATGTTCACTTTCAATATGAATACAAGAACATATTCTATTATTTCATTCAATTAGATCCATTGATAACTTTAAATAAAGGAAAAACAACTAAGTTTTCATAATAAAAGAAATTCATCAGTCTATTTAACATATATCAGTATAGGGGTTGTGGAGATTGTCAAGTTTTGATTAGATCATGAACCGATTGATGGTAGATCACCATTGGAAACCTGGAAGCATCGGACGGCCGTTTCGTCCCATTGCGAGACTCCTCAGCAGTGCGCATCCACAATCCCGCTCTCCGCGATATTCGAACCCAGGGCCTTCAGTCTGGCGCGCGAACGCTTAACCTGCTGGACCACTGAGCCGGCATCCAATGGTGTTAATGTCTAACGTCAACCAATCCACAAAATTGCGAAACTATCTTCCATTGTACTGAGGTAGACACCTGTTTCTACCCGACACGGATTAACTCCACTGGTCACAGTTTCTCACCAGAACTCCGAGAATTTCACATATAACCTAAAAGTACAATTATTAATAAATGTTTAACATCATTCATCTAGTAACCTTCATTAATTTGTAATTATTTTTTTAAATTCCCTCTCTAACCTTTTTATTTTATCAGTATAGAGTTGTGGAGATTATTAAGTTTTGATTAAGATCATAAATCAATCAATGTTGAATCACTATTGAAATCCTAGAAGCTCTGAATGACTGTTTCGTCTTAGTATAGGACTCATCAGTAGTACGCATTCACGACCTCACACTTAGGATTCGAACCCAATAACTTCGAGCTTGTTTTCTTTTCGTCTTCGTTACTCATCACTTACGTAATCTTATTGTTCATATATGTGTTTATTTTATCATGTTGAGCGTTTTACTAAATCAATTATGAATTTGACTACCCTTACGTAATCTCTTTTATCTCAATTATAAGTCATAGTAACTATAATATCACCTGTTCTACTCTGTATTATAAATTTCCAACACACAAATATACATCTATGTTAATTACGTTTATTCATACACTTTGTATCAGTATATTATTATTATTATTATTATTATTATTATTATTATTATTTTGATTACATTCCAACAGTTTACCTAAACTTCACTAAGTTGTACTAAATGGTGAAGATTTGTAGCTCAGGTGGATGATTTTGGAGTTTTATTCCTTGAGCTGGATGGTTTAATCGTAGAGCTTTCATAGACGAATGAATTCATTTTATTCTGCAAACTTTGTTCTTCTCTTTCTGGTTAAGTATTCCATTATGATATTATGAAGATGAGAGGGAGATGGTTCTACCTCTGAATAATTAATCCACTGTTCTATGTGTTAATTTTAAAGTGTTTGTCGAAGATTTCTTCATATTTGACTGCTTAGGTCAATAGAAATCATTTGTTATCCATGAAATGAGTTCTGAACTTTATGCACTAAATGAAATATATCTTATTTTCATTCACCATAAAGTTATCTCATTGGGGATAACATTGATAATCAGAGAACACTGGAAAGCTGTTTCCTTCTCGTATGAAACCCCTCATTAGTGTTTATTCATAGGAACTGAAGTTGTTGGGTTCGATCATTGTGAGGTTATGAGTCCACATCGTTGAACGGTCATATACTAGGATGAAATAGATGTCCATTGTTCCTAGGCTTTTAATGGTATCTCATGACTGCGAATCATTCACAATGCCTCAAATGCACTTACTATTTTGGTGCAGTTTTGTTCTCTGAGCTGGATGGTTTGGTCGTAGAGCTTTCATTGTTCTTCCAAACGACATCATCAGCACAAACTTCAGATATCTGAGCTACAAATCTTCTGCATTTACTATTTATCTTTCCCTAAATCCTAAATTTTAAAATTGTCTTCTAGCCTTCTATCCTACGAATTCATGGTTTCTTCTTGAGTTATATCCCCTATGGTAAATGTTTTTTCTACAATCAATAATACTGTTATTACTTCTACAACTCTAAGATTTGTCTGGATCTCAAACTTGAACTGATACATATATATGCCAACTCCTACAGTATATATAACTATTTGACTCAATATTACACTAAATGAAATCAATTTGTCACAAATATAGCCTGAGAAATAATAATAAATATACTAAAAGAACCTTCACAAGATCCCTTCAACGAAAATATTGATACAATTTCTTGTGTAATTTCATAGATAAGTTATTGCCACAAATAAGTCAGTCAGTTAGATACAACGTAGGATCAGGCACATATATGCATCGGTCCAAGTTGCCATACCTCATAAGCACAACAAGATGAACACCAAATTCATAGAAGTAGTGAATTCAATGGTGATAATATATAAAGGAAAGATTGCATATAAGGATATAGTACAGGAAGAAAGAATTAGTTCGTAAAAAGAAAGATATGAAGCAATTTTAATCTCTTAGTTTAACGGAAGACAGAGAGTGTATACACCTACGCCATTGTGATCGATTCTCAACCATGTCACCCACAGTCTCCAACTATTAGTTACGATAGTTACGCGGATCCCAACCAATTAGTCTGCATCTCCCAACATGGCTCAGACTAGAAGTTAGTGACTTTGTGGACTGATGCCCCGTTTTGGTTTGGCCACCCCTAATTTTCTTCCAACCATCTCCAATACCGGTTAGCACTGCACGTCGTGGTAATCGGTGTTCAAGTACAATCAACCAATTCTATGGATCATAAATTAGTATTAAGCTCTTAATGAATTAATGATTTTTTTTAGGAATAACATCAAATTCCTTGATTATACTATGATCTCTAATTTTGATTACGACGATGATCAGAGTGACAATGAAAAGTCAAACAATCTATACAGACAATTCTCATATTCATTCAAAAAATACAACAAGATTTTTCGATCAAAAGTACACAATTTAAACAAAAATTTTCATCATTATTATAAATGACTATTCAAGGTTACACATTGAAATATGATTAGTGTTAAAGTGTATGTGTGTGTGTGCACATGAAAAGATTCTACTGTATGGGACGGGAACTTGGAAAACTACGAAAACCATCATCTAGAAGATACAAGTGTCTATTAACAGCTGTCTGTGCAAAATACTTTAGATCCGTTGGCCAGATACTATCAGCAACAACCTACTATGCGAGACAATAAACCGAATCTCGGCGGAGGAAGAAGTGCTGGAAGTGGATAGGACACACACATTGAGGAAAGCACCGAACTATGTCACAAGAAACGCCCTCACTTGGAATGGTCAAGGCCAAAGGAAAAGAGGAAGACTAAAGAACACATTATACCGAGAAATGGAGATAGACATGAGAAGAATGAACAACAATTGGATAGAACTATAAAGGAAGGCCCAGGACAGAGTATGTTGGAAAATACTGGTCGGCGGCCTATTGCTCCATTGGGATTAACAGGCGTAAATAAGTAGCATGAAAAGAGATAAAGAGATTATTCACTTTACACAAAATTGTTGTCAAATTTTCTTGCATTATGTGTTCCCATATGATATATATATGTATATATTGGACATTGGATAAATCGTAGAATATTGATTACGTTACTTTCTTCCTCCCCCCACCCCCATCCAATTTTTTTTTAAATTAAAGATATTCAAGTGCTTGTGGACATGTTAATAATTCTCTTAATAATCTCCATGCTTGTTTTGCTGTAATATCCATTCCTAATGTAGAATATCCTCGAAATATATCTAAATTTGGTAAAAAATAATGTGGACATCGACGATGTTGTAAACATGATATTAATTGTAATAATATACTATTAATACGATCTCCTAATGTATATTGTGTCCAATCATCATCATTTGGATGTTTTTCACATTCATGTAAAACAAGTGTTTTAATATCATATTCTTGAATGACTGAATTCATCATGTTCATTGTTGACGACGATGTTGATGCAGTTGATGAAGTTGATTTAGGATGTTTAAAATTGATCTCCTTATTATTAACACCAGTTAAATGTCGATCAGCTAATGTTTTTAATATACTAAAACATTGTCTACGTATTGTATGATTTAATAATAAACGTTCTTCGGCATGATAAAAATCTAATAACCATGCATCTCCTTCAGCGGATGCTTGTTTATCTTTTGTATATACGGATTCTTGACTTAATAAACAAAATCCTTCATATTTCACTTCATTAATTAATTGATTTGATGGCCATTTAATTCTATTAGAAGGAGTAGTAGTAGTATTTATTAATTCTATATTCAATTCATTATGAATAGGATTATGGCTAGTTATAGGCCAATGACTAGCTGATCTAGGCCATAAACCATTACAACGAAATGCTGGAGTAATTTGTAATATATACTTATCATGTATACATAATTTCACTTCAGTTGTATGCCCTAACATACGTACAATATGACGATAGGCTGATTTTTGTATTGCTTGTCCAATTAAACTATGAAATCTTGCACGTATTTTTCTAGCTGATAAATATCCCGATGCTGTAATAAATTCAACCCATAATGACATTGAACGTTTACGACCATCGGATAATTTTAAGACAGCACCACCAGGTATACTACCATCATCCATAAAATTAAATACACCCATTTGATTTAAATAAAGTGTTATCTCAAAATGATTTGATGATAGAACACGTAAACCATCATAATAAACTCCATTATGTGAATTATTATTACTATTACTACTATTCATGGGATTCGTTGTAACACTAGTAGTAGTAGTAGTACTACTACTATTACTACTACTACTAGTACTAGTAGTAGTATTCGTTGTATTCAGGCTATTGATTACATTCGAAGTAGTATCCGGTGAAGTATTATTATTATTATCATCATCATTATCGTCTTGTTTCTTTTCTATATTATTTGTATGAATCACTTTTAATGTACTAACAAAACGTGGTTCTTGTAATTCAACTTCATGTAAAATCTCTTGAGCTATTTGTACAATTTCATGTAATGTATTCGCTATTGTATTACGTCTTGTTTCAACCCGATTTATATAAAATAAATGTAAATAATGATAAATTGGATTAGGTATAGCAGATAATTGACGAAATAATTTTGGTTGTGAATGAATTATCTGATGTGGATATTGATGCTCATGATGAAGATGATGATGCTGATGATGATGAAGTTGATGATGAAGATGTTGAGGCAATTCATCATATTCAATAGAATGATATTTTTTTATTAATCCATTCTCTTCATCATTCTCATTTGAATCTTCAATAGTGTTTTTATGATGATGATGATTATTTCTATACATTAATCTATGGGTATAAATGGTTGGTAACAGATCCATGAGTTGTTGTTGTTCTTCTTGTTGTTGTTATCGTTACTAATGAACTGATCTATTCTACTATGTATGAAATGTCTATCCACGTAAAGAAATCTCTTTTTTTTTTAAAAAAACAAAAAAGTATTTATCCAATAGCTAAGATGTTCACAATTGAATACAATAAGAAACAGTTGTTCTTCACTACAATTCATACATAAACCCCCCGCACACACACACACACATTCACATATCCATACTATCTCAATATGTTCAGTAATATTCTCTAATCGTTTAGAACATTTAATTATGATGAAATATGTATATTATATATACAATGAATAGGATAAATACATTCAGCACACTAAGTCATTCATTCATTCATTCATTTGTATGAGTTGAATGCCTTTTTCTTTTTTTTTCTTCTAGAAATATCATTGATTTATGAGTGTTGAATGTTTGAGAATAATTGCTGAAAACAAAATGATGATGATGATTGTAACTAATACACTACTTGTCTTTAGTTGTTATTAGTAGTATAAATATTAGTAGTAAAGTTGATAATGATCTATTTCCAGTTTTAAATTATTGATAAAGAACAATAAATCTGCATATTATAATCATATGTATCTATCCATCTCGACAAACATGTTGTTTATTGAAAAGAAAAGAAACAATAATGATTTATGTATTGTGTTTAGTATTAGAAAGAATGGGAATATTGTAAATGTTTGAATGTCTATTACATATATATATATATATCTACATTCTCTTTCTCTCTCTCTCTCTCTCACTCCATATCTCTCTCTCTCGAATGTATACATATTCATCTTTCCGTCCTATTACTATTACTGCCCATGATATCCAATTCCTTACTGTTGGTTTCATTCCGTTGTGTGTGTATGTATTGAATTGAATACTCTTTTCTATTTAGAATGTTTCCCCCCCCCCTTTTGCTCGTGAAAATAATTGAAAACTATCTCAGCATTAATAATAAATTATCAATAATATACTTACCAATAATAAATGTATTGATTTTTCCCCTTTTTTTAAAAAATGCGATCCAATCAAATTTATTTATATAAAAATGAGAATGAAACATTTCGACCAATCAGATGATTACAAAGTTGCCAGAATGGTTTACTTCATTTGAACTGGTAACAAAAGTCATGTTTTGTAATTTTTTGTTTCTCACATTAATCTTGAATAAATAAATAAGTAATATGTGATCTAACTATTATGGAATCTCAACAGTTGAGATCATGAGTCAGTTGAAGTTAGACCACCATCATGGAATACCTGTAAGTACTGCATGACCGTTTCGTTCTATTGTCGGACTCTTCAGCAGTGCATATCCACGATCCTACCTCACAACATTCGAACACACGACCTAACAGACTCATGCATGAGCTCTTAACCACTAGACCAATGAGCCAACCGTCATTCAACGGTGTTAATATCTAACTTTAAATAATCCACTAAGTTCGAGCGACACATTCACCATTGTGATCAGTGAGTTACGATCTGACAACTGATCCGTTTGAACTCCATTAGTCACTGCTTCTCACTAGAACTCCAGGAAATACCTCTTAAAGTCAGTCAGAAGTGAGCATATGTTGATTAGTATCAGAAGGGGTTTTGTGGAGTTTGTAGTAATTTCAATAGTTTTGAGATAGGAACTCACTGATGACAATGGTCGATGTGTCGCTCAATTTCGTGGATTAATTGAAGTTAGACATTAACACTGTTGGATGCTAACTCAGTGGTCTGGTTGGTTAAGCGCCTGGCGTGAGGCTGATAGATCTTGCGTTCGAGTCCCGTGGGGCGGGGTCTTGGATGCGCACTGTTGAGGGATCCCACAATAGGATGAAGCGGTCGTCCAATGATTCCAGGTTTTCCATAGTCGTCTAGCTTCAAATGACTCATGATCTCGACTGTTAAAATTACTACAATTTCCACAAAACCCTTTCTGACATCATGGAATGGTTTTTCGTTCAATCAAATGATTTTGTTTCAAACAGCCTAGTTATTATTAGTTGTAACTGGTGAAGTTCAGTCATATCGGTAATGTGATAGATATATATGACTAGTAAGATTCGATAATTATGGTAGAAATATGGTAAATTGATGAAAGTTGGAAATGTAAACCACTATATCAGTTCAGTATTATATTAGGTCGTTTATGAGCACTTAGCATTAGTCTTATGTTGTTTATAATCCCTCTATTACAAATATATACCAGTTGAGATTAATTTGTGATGAAATTCATTTGAACATTACTGTATTTCATTAAGATAAATTGTTCATTAAACTTATCATTCAATCAAACCTTTGTGATATAATCAGATCTAAAAGAAGTGATGAGTTTAATCAGGTGTTTGAATGATAGGCTTAGAAACAGATTATTATGGAACGGGTCTATTTATTCCTCCCAATGAACACTGACGTTAATTTCACTCTATGTTATATTTAACTTCCTTCTACGATTCATGTTATTATTTCCCCATTTTCTATTTTTCATTCTGTTAATTCCCCCCATCCTCTTTGTTGTACTAACAGATGATGATGTGACAATACGGAAAGATACAGATATTACGTCGTATGTAACTAACTTTGTTTAATATTGAATGGGAAGCATACAATAAAATGAGCCTATCAAAAACTGTATTCTTGTTACAAATAAGAGCATATTTATACTTCTTCTTGATAATAGATAACAGTTCTGACAATAATCTATTACCATTTTTTAAAAGATATTCTAGGTATGTTTTATAACTTGTCGTTTGAATGCTTATTGTCTTGGCTCTTTTAATGCTACTTTTTGTATCTGGTCGTCACTGATTGGTTGTATCGGACACACTTATCACTTATACTCAGAACGAAGGATCTCTACAATTCACACGACGCGAAAGTAAGAACACAAAGACTGGTATAAGTGATGATTTATTAACCCAAAACACTATGACGACAACAACTCTAGTAGAAAATACACTCATTTATATATTGGTTGTACACCCATTTTTGATTAATAATTAGGATGAAATCACAGACTGAGCATAGTTCATGTCAATCGAATACAAGAATATCTCACATATTGTACAGAATAAAATATCATACGAGAAAAGAAAACAAGAAAACTACATTGAGTAATCATTCCATTGAATCAAAATGGAAGTACAAGTGTACAAAACTCATAATGAGTAAATCAATCGAAAATTGACTTTTCTTTCCATCATATCAGTATGATAAATACCGAGTAATTAATATGAGCTGATAAATCCATCAACTATAGATTAATATTAGCAAAGTCAGATGGTAGTTAACAGTGGATTCTAAGACGCGCGTTTCTTTCTATTTGGGACTCGTCATCTGGATATACCTGCATCCCAGAGTTGATGTTCACTCCGGAAATTGAGCCCAGTCCCAAATAAAACGAAACGCGCATCATGGATTCCACTGCTAGCCATCATCTATCTTTGCTTATAAAGCTTGTGAATTAAGGCAATACCAATGCAATACACATTTACTTACTTACTTACTTACGCCTGTTACTCCCAATGGAGCATAGGCCGTACACCAGCATTCTCCAACCCACAATGTCCTGGGCCTTCTTTTCTAGTTCCATCCAATTCTTGTTCATTTTTCTCATGTCCATCTCCATTTCCCGGCGTAATGTGTTCTTTGGTCTTCCTCTTTTACTTTGGCTCTGAGGATTCCAAATGAGGGCGTTTCTTGTGACGCAGTTCGGTGCTTTCCTAAATATGTGTCCTATCCACTTCCAGCACTTCTTCCTGATTTCTCCCTCCGGTGGGATCTGGTTTGTTCTCTCCTACAGTACGTTGTTGCTAATAGTGTCCGGCCAATGGGTCTGAAGTATTTTGCGTAGACAATTGTTAATAAACACCTGTATTTTCTGGATGATGGCTTTCGTAGTTCTCCAGGTTTCTGCCCCATACAGTAGAACTGTCTTGACATTTGTATTGAAAATCCTGACCTTGGTGTTGGTTGACAGTTGCTTTGAGCTCCAGATGTTCTTCAGTTGTAAATATGCTGCTCTTGCTTTGCCGATCCGCGCCTTCACATCTGCATCAGATCCACTGTGTTCATCAATGATGTTGCCCAAATGCAATACACATAGTATGCATATATACCGATAAAAGATTGATCAATTACAGTCTTAAACATTAATGGCAAGATACAAACAAACAATAATAAATGAATTTATAGATTAGTATTGTTATTTAAATCTAGAATTTAAGGAGGACTAAACTTCTGATATACTTATGAGTAATTTTCCTTCAGAGATCAAAATAACCGTTTTATTACATCAGAACTATAATTAAACTTCATGGACAGAAAAGTGTTTTCCAGATCTGTACAGAATAAAATTTCCCACCCAGTTACCACTATATACACCTACCAGTTTGTGTTTCAATCGAGTAAAGTACATAGGTTGAGACCAGTGTTCAGTCTTAATACAAAAAACAAGAATATATTCCAGTATAGTATTATAAAGGTATGAGTAAAACGGTTAGGATTTCTGTCCTTTATTATTTAACCGACTCTAGTCAATAAACTAAACCGCATTTTGATTTTAATATTCTTCACAGATTCCATCAGAATCTATTCAGATTTCTTTACATTCAACCGCTTGAAAAAACTGCATAAGCTCTTGTCATACATGAGAGCAATTCGGAACTTTGAGTACAACATGAAGTATATCTTACCGTTGCCCTTACTAAGAACTTAAACTACCATTACTATTCATAAGAATAATATATTTGCAATATCCTAATGAGTAGAAAAACTAAATTTTCAAATGTCCGGATGTTTTGTCACTCAGTATAAGTTGCTTCTTCAGAGAATAAATCTATGGATAAGAAGAGATTCATTCTCTGAAGAAGTAACTTATACTGAGTGACGAAACGTCCGAAAATTTGAAAATTTAGTTTTTCTACTCATTAGGATATTGCAAATACATTATTGTTGTTCATAACAATCTACCCTATGCTCAATTTATTTGAAAT